GAGGCTTGTGCCTCTGTCAAGGTGGTTTCTTAAATACTAAAGTACAGTCAATCACAATCAAACAATGCCCCTTCCTCTCCCTCTCTCAAGCAGCCAGGACTCTGCAACAACTCTAAGCACTTTCACACCCTCCCAGACCCGTCCCAGACCAGTTCTCCCACACAATATCCTCAGCTGAAATCCCCTCAGCTGAAAGCAAGTAAAAAAACACTCACTCTCTAAAAAAAAAAAAAGTCTTAAAAGATGATGCTGTTAAAGTGCTGCACTCAATTTGCCAGCAAATTTGGGAAACGCAACAGTGGCCACAGGATTGTAAAGTGCTGCACTCAATTTGCCAGCAAATTTGGAAAACGCAACAGTGGCCACAGGATTGGAAAAGGTCAGTATACATTCCAATCCCAAAGAAGGGCAATGCCAAGGAATGTTCAAACTATCACACAATTGCACTCATATCACACGCTAGCAAGGTCATGCTCAAGATCTTACAAGCTAGGCTTCAACAGTACGTGGATAGAGAACTACCAGAAGTATAAGCTGGGTTTCGAAGAGGTAGAGGAACTAGAGATCAAATTGCCAACATTCGCTGGATTATGGAGAAAGCAAGAGAGTACCAGAAAAACATCTACTTCTGCTTCATTGACTATGCTAAAGCTTTTGACTGTGTGGATCACAACAAACGATGGCAGGTCCTTAAAGAGATGGGAGTACCAGACCACCTCACATGTCTCTTGAGAAACCTGTATAAGGGTCAAGAAGCGACAATTAGAACTGGATATGGAACAACTGATTGGTTTAGCATAGGAAAAGGAGTACGACAAGGATGTATATTGTCACATTGCTTATTTAATATATATGCAGAGTACATCATGTGAAATGCTGGCCTGGATGAATCACAAGCGGGAATTAAGATTGCTGGGGAAAAGATCAACAACCTCAGATATGCAGATGATACCACTCTAATGGCTGAAAGTGAAAAGGATCTAAAGAGCCTCTTGCTGGTCAAAGAGGAGAGCGCAAATGTGGGCTTGATGCTTAACATCACAAAAACGAAGATCATGGCATCACTCCTTGACAAATAGAAGGGGAAGTCGTGGAAGTAGTGACAGACTTCATGTTCCTGGGATCCCAGATCACCGCAGACTGTGACAGAACCAAGAAATTAAAAGATGCCTGCTCCTTGGGAGGAAAGCGATGGCGAACCTAAACAGCATGATAAAAAGTAGAGACATCACCCTGCCAACAAAAGTCTGCATGGTCAAAGCAATGGTATTCCCAGTAGTCCTGTATGGCTGTGAGAGTTGGACTATAAGGAAGGCCGAGCGCCGAAGAATAGATTCTTTTGAACTATGGTGCTGGAGAAGACTCTTGAGAGTCCCTTGGACTGCAAGAAGATCAAATCAGTCAATCCTAAAAGAAATCAACCCTGACTGTTCACTGGAAGGCCAGATAATGAAACTGAAGCTCAAATATTTCGGCCACCAAATGAGAAGGGAGCACTCACTGGAGAAGACCCTGATGCTGGGAAAGATTGAAGGTCAAAGAAGACGGGGACGGCAAAGGATGAGATGGTTAGACAGTGTCATAGATGCAACGAACATGAAGTTGAGCAAACTTCAGAGGACGGCGGAAGACAGGAAGGCCTGGCATGATCTGGTCCATGGGGTCGCGAAGAGTCGGACTCGACTGTGCGACTGAACAACAACAAAAATATTTGCATAATAATGCCAGGGCAGGCTCATGCTCTATACAATATAAGCCTAAAAGATGAAACCAGACCTAGAGCTGATAGGCAAGCAAGTGCTGCAAATATATATATGCATTTGCTTTTCAAAACTTCTGGAAACTTCCTTCCTATTCCCCCCCCCCCCCAAAATCTCCAGAAGTACTACATTTTTAACAGTAACAAATAAACGTAGCTGATCACGAATGACTGTTGTGTTGACCTTTGGGTTTGGACTGACCCTCATGCTTCTTGCTCAGAGGGAGACGGCTGGGTGGCTGAGGTCAGTGAGGGGCCAAGTGAGATGGCCGAGAAGAGAACTACCCATAAGTGCCAGGATTCAGTGTGCAATAAGGGTTGCCAACTCTGGGCTGGGAAATTCCTGGAGGTTTGGGGGGGGAGCCTGGGGAGGACAGGGACCTCAGCGGGGTAGAATGCCACAGAGTCCACCCTCCAAAGCAGCCACTGGCTCCAGGGAGAACTGATCTTTGTCACATGGAGATCAGTGATAATTGTGAGAGAACTTTGGGTACACCAGGAGGTTGGCAACCCTGTATGCAACAGTGGCACGGAAAGAGGGTTGCGTTTCTGTTTTGCTTGGCAAAGTCAAAGGGCCCAGGGGTTGCCCAGATGCCGGCTGATGCCACCCTCTTGCCATCACGTTGGTACAGCACCTCCATGACCCAGCGGGCCCCACCCCTCAACCCTCAAAGAATGCCAGCACCCCCCTTCCCCTTCTTAGGCACTCCGGGAGCTCTCAGCATCTGCTCCCTGCCACTGCCTTTTGCTTCGACCTTGACGGAAGGTTGCACCGTTTGGGCCAGTCTGTGGAGCTGGCAAGGCCCTCGGGCCTCTTCCTGAAACAGGCATGTCAAGGAGACGGGGGCAAGTGGCGACGAACCCTTACCGTCCATCCTCCGCCGTCTGTTGTCATGTCACAGTAGACCTGGAAGCCTTCGGGATAGTGAGTGGGGAAGACTGAATAGACGCCGTCCTCTTGTTGTCCACTCGCGTAGATGTCAAAACAGTCCCGGGGCCGGGAGCCTGCAGTGCAGTGGGGAAGGGGGGGGGGGAGGGGGAGAGCAAGGCTAATTAATTGTCTAAATTACAACCCTCAGTGTTTGAAGCTCTGGTGCTTGGGCTCTCTCGCCTGTGATAATTGGCTGCCTTAACTAAAACACCACTCCACTTCCTCCGTGGCTCAGGGCAGACACAGTCCTTGTACAACTCTGACTCTGAGGGAGGCCCTTGGCTGCAGAAACAAAGCGGCGGATGGTGCTCCTGTGTGCTTGCAGAGAAGGGCACTTCTTCCTCCTGTCTTTGCCAAACCAGGCTCACTGACACAGGGTTCCCAACCTCCAGATGGGGCCTGGAGTTCTCCTGGAATCCAAACTGTTCTTCTGACTACAGAGATCAGTTCTCGCTGACACAGGGTTCCCAACCTCCAGACGGGGCCTGGAGTTCTCCTGGAATCCAAACTGTTCTTCTGACTACAGAGATCAGTTCTCGCTGACACAGGGTTCCCAACCTCCAGATGGGGCCTGGAGTTCTCCTGGAATCCAAACTGTTCTTCTGACTACAGAGATCAGTTCTCGCTGACACAGGGTTCCCAACCTCCAGATGGGGCCTGGAGTTCTCCTGGAATCCAAACTGTTCTTCTGACTACAGAGATCAGTTCTCGCTGACACAGGGTTCCCAACCTCCAGATGGGGCCTGGAGTTCTCCTGGAATCCAAACTGTTCTTCTGACTACAGAGATCAGTTCTCGCTGACACAGGGTTCCCAACCTCCAGATGGGGCCTGGAGTTCTCCTGGAATCCAAACTGTTCTTCTGACTACAGAGATCAGTTCTCCTGGAGGAAAGGGCCACTTTCAAGGGTGGAGTCCATGGAACGAAACCTGTGTACGGTTCTGGTCACCACATCTCAAAAAGGATATTATAGCATTGGAAAAAGTGCAGAAAAGGGCAACTCGAATGATAAAAGGGTTGGAACACTTTCCCTATGAAGGAAGGTTAAAACACTTGGGGCACTTTAGCTTGGAGAAACGACGACTGAGGGGTGACATGATCGAGGTTTATTAGATTATGCATGGGATAGAGCAGGTAGAGAAAGAAGTACTTTTCTCCCTTTCTCACAATACAAAAACTCATGGGCACTCCATGAAATTGCTGAGCAGTCGGGTTAGAAGAGATAAAAGGAAGTACTTCTTCACCCAAAGAGTGATTAACACATGGAATTCACTGCCACAGGAAGTGGCGGTGGCTACAAGCATGGATGGCTTCAAGAGGGAATTGGGTAAACATACAGAGCAGAGGTCCATCAGTGGCTATTAGCCACAAGGTATAGATAGGGACTCTCAGTCTGGGGCAAGTGATGCTCTGTATTCTTGGTGATTGGGGGGGGAGGGCAACAGTGGGAGGGCTTCTAGCGTCCTGGCCCCACTGCTGGTCCCCCTGATGGCACCTGGTATTTTTGGCCCCTGTGTGACACAGAATGTTGGGCTGGATGGGCCGTTGGCCTGATCCAACATTGGATTCTCTTATGTTCTTAAACCAGTGCTGACATCCCTCCCCTCCCAAAATTCTGCCTTCCTGTAGCACTGCCCCCAAACTTCCAAGAATTTCCTAAGCTAGAGTTGGCAACCCTGCTAACTTGAACAAAGAACTCTGATGACTGGGGCCAGCCCAGGGTATGGTCAAACTGGAGCCTTTTTTTTTAAAAGGGATTCCCTCACAGTCAAATTTCACAGGTGAATTCAGAGCAATCTGCACAACATTCCGGTTCAGCCTAACCTCAAATGAATAAGTAAGTAACTGGCTCAGATTCTCTGTTGCAGGGTTACTCAGTGTGGTGCCCGAGGGTGCCAGGGCACCTGCCACCCTCACTCAGACAGAAGGGTTTTCCACTGGAGAAGGAGGAGGAGGACTGGTAAGCTACTGGACTTTTGTTAGTCAGTGTGTGGTTCCACTCAGCCTCCAGGATCTCCTTCCCAGGAGGTGGCAGGAGGGAGGTATTCCATTCAGCTCTGCTTTAGGGTTTGGCTCTGCCTTTAGGGTTTTGGGGTGGTGCTCACCATTTCCTCTCAGAATTCCAAAAGTGCCCGCAGAGGGTTGCAAGACAGAGCCTGGCAACTGGCAGAGGGATGTCATCAGCAATGTGCTGATGTCACTCCCTGTGTGCCCGCAAGTGACATCACCGTATCACTGGGTAAGCTCTGGCATTTGGCATAGTGCCCCAGTGGCACACTGAAGTCATCTCCAGGCAGATGGGGAGTGACATCAGTGTGTGACGATGCTACCAACATTCCCCTCCCCCTGGGTTTCCTGATATCCCCCCCCCCCCGCAGCCAGCTGAGTGGCCGCCAGGAAGCTCCTGCTGGTGGTGGGAGGTCCCTGCCCCCTACAGGGGAATGACAAGCCTATGCCCACAGCCTCAGGCAGGTTGGGGATCCCTGCTCTATGGGACTGGCAGACTGCCTGAAGGTTCTGCTAGAGAGTAGTTCCATCTTTTCTGCTGATTCTTCCTCCACACAGGAAGCATCTCTCTCTCTCTCTCTCTCTCTCTCTCTCTCTCTCTCTCTCTCACCGTTGGCACATCCCTTTGGCCGGGCACTCCTGGTTGGGGCTTTCTGAAGATCGGCCTTGAGGCGAGGCCGGATGACGCTGCGGTCCTTCTGCAAGGCGTCCAGGATGTCACTGACGGAGCTGACCAGTCTGGCCATGTTGGCCTGGCTCTCTGAAAGCAGCTGTGAGGAACAAAGAAAAGGGCCACAGGACCATGAGGACGGGGATGATTCTGAGAAGGGTCCTGCATGTCCTGAGTCTTTCTAAGAGTTACATTTAGGTATTAGAGAAGAAAATGCTTTCCATATATTATTATAACAGAAAATGCATTGAGCAGAACTGTATTATGTATCCCAATAGGATATGAGAAAAATACAGATGAGCAAAATACAGATTTAATTCTCAGAGCCTAGCTATTTCGCTAGGAGCTAAAGATGCCAAGTTACCTCCTAAGGATGTAAATTCTGCTCTGGTCACCTCTAAAATTATTCAAAGGAAAAAGTAGTGATCAGCCAAACTGTGATTTCAGTCAGCACACTGGTTTGGATATGCTTTCCATTCATTTTTTTTTAATTTAATGGGAAAGGTATTATGTTGGTATTAAAGGTGTTTTATTTAAGTGATCCTAAGACAGGGAACATCATAGGCAGATGTGTCGCTATGAGCAGATTAAATAACATTTCATTAACGATACTGCCTTTCAAAGGCAGCTCCTCAAAACAGACGCGGCTCAACTACTGAGCCAGCCAGAACATGAGACGGCATGCAAAATGTCCCCAAAGCACTCAGGTCCTCATCCCTCATCAGGTCCCATTCAACATGTGGCCCACAGAGGAATTCTTGGGGTGGTGGCAGCGTCTTCTCGATGCAAGTTGTTTTGTTCTCCCTCATCTCCCTTTGATGCGATGCAAGGCCAATTCCAGATGAAGCAAAGGCTGGTGGCTGAAGGCAGGGCATTCTTCTTGGCATTCATGAGAAATGTGGTCCTTCTGCGGGACGGGGATTTGCCAGGGCCAGTGTCAGCATACCCTGAGGTGGGGCAGCTGCCATGGCCCAGGGATTGCCCTGTCACCTGCCGATGTGCCTTCCTCCCCATAAGCTTGGCACTCCGCCACCCATGCTCCCTGCCACGCACACTGCCCAGCATCACTGGGGAAGGGTGAGCAGGTGGTGTAGAACGATGGCATTTCTGCCAGGCGCCACAGGAGAAAGGGCACATGGGAGGGCTTGCAGTCAGCAGAAGAATACTTGGGCAGGTGGCTGGCAGGAAGGGTAGCATGGTGGGGAGCAGAGGAGGGGAGGGGGGCCTGGGCACGTGCTGCCCAGGACCCCCTAAATCTAGAAATGGCCCCAGTGGATGCCCAGCAAGCATTCCGAGTTGAACATGGATGATGAAATAACCTTTCAAGAACATCAGAAGAGCCCTGCTGGATCAGACCTGTGGTCCATCTAGTCCAGCATCCTGTCTCTTTCTCAACTCTCTCCAGCCCATACGTAATTTTATTACCCTCCATCATGTCCCCTCTCAGTCGACTCTTTTCTAAACTGACAAGTCCCAGAGACTCTTCAGCCTTTCCTCATGGGGAAGGTGCTCCAACCCCCTCATCATCTGGGTCACCCTCCTCTGCACTTGTTCTGGCTCTGCAATGTCTTTTTTGAGATTCGGGGACCAGAACTGTACACAGTATTCCAAAGAGGCTGCACCATAGATCTTTGGTGTAGCGGTTAAGAGCGTGGATGCTAATCTGGGAAAACCAGGTTTGATTCCCCACTCTTCCACATGCAGCTGCTGGAGGGAGGAGCTTTGAGGTGGAGCTCAAGGGTCGCAAGGTACAGTTGTCCCTCTTGGTTGCTGAGGGTAACCGGGCCAGTTTGCTGGGCCTGGATTGGTTCCAACCTCTGGGTATTGCTGTAACTGGTGTTAACAAGGTGTGTGCAAATAAAGGGAATTGCATTTATGATGAGTTCCCAGAGGTTTTTGGGGAAGGTCTGGGTCAGTATACAGGTCCGCCCTTGAGGTTCGACCTGAATCCCTCTGTGTTACCTATCCACCTAAGGTGAAGGCTAAAATAGAGGCGGAACTGGACAAGCTCATAGTCCAAGGTATTCTTGAACCTGTGCCATATGGTAAATGGGAGATCTCGATTGTATCGCCTGTAAAATCTGATGGAACTGTATGTATATGTGCTGATTACAAGTGTATGATCAATAAGGCTCTGCAACAACATTCTTACCCGGTACCTGTAATCAGCCACGTGTTGGCTTCCCTTGGGGGGGGGGACAAAATGTGGGTTTTGGCGGCCGACGCTTCCCCGTATGGGGTTGGCACGGTTTTGAGCCCCGTCATGGCGGATGGGCGAGAGGCTCCAATTGCCTACTACTCACGGTCTCTAATGGCTGCAGAAAAAAACGATGCCCAGATCAACAAGGATGGCCTGGCTTTGGTGGCGGGAATTAAAAAATTCCATGACTTTGTTTATGGCCGCCGGTTCCTCCTTGTCACGGACTACAAGCCACTGTTGGGCCTGTTTGCACCAGACCGCCAAACTCTGACCGTTATTTCAGCCCGCATGTTGCGATGGGCTGTTTTCCTTGCAGCCTATGACTTTGACTTCGAGCACTGTCCTGGCAAGGCAATCAGACATGTGGGCGCTCTTAGCCGCTGCCCTCTGCCACAAATGGACACTGATCCGGCACCAGCATTTGACGTACTGGCAATTGACAAACTGCCTCAGCCTCCGGTCCACTCTTCGGACATTGCTGCTGCGTCAGCTAAGGACTCTACCCTCTCCCGTGTCCTTAACTGGGTTTGGAGGGGGTGGCCGGCAGGTAGAGTGAACCAGGAGTTTAAGCCGTACCACACGAGGCAAACCAAACTGTCAGTCGTAAAGGGTTGCTTGTTATGGGGGAACCGGGTGGTGGTGCCTCCCAAACTACGGGAGCGTGTCCTGGAAGCTCTTCATGATGATCCAGGCATAGTGCATATGAAAGCACTTGCACGCAACTATGTCTGGTGGCCTGGTAGACTCTGACGTGGAGGATTGGGTCTGGCACTGCATGACCTGCCAGCAGTCCAGACCTGACCCACCTCAAGCCCCAGTCCAGCACTGGGAAACCACAAGCAAGCCTTGGTCCAGGCTGCATGTAGATTTTGCCAGCCCGTTTCAGGGGCAAATGTTTCTCATTATTGTGGAAGCATTTTCTAAATGGCTGGAAGTGATTAATATGCGTGTTACAACATCAACAGCTGTAGTTAATGTATTGTGTCGGGTCTTTGCAACCCATGGTATGCCAAACGTCTTGGTATCAGACAACGGGCCCCAATTCACCTCGGGAAAGTTTGAAAAATTCTTGTCTGATAATGTTATCAAACATGTAACGTCCACTCCGTTCCATCTGGCCACAAACGGGCAAGCCGAACGGATGGTTCGGATGACGAAAGAGGCTTTAAAGAAAATGGTTCCTGGGGACTGGGAGCAGAAGCTAGTCTCTTTCCTGTTGCGGCAGCATATTACACCCTGCACCGCAACTGGAAGGAGCCAGGCTGAGCTTCTGATGGGATGCTGGCTAACAACTCTATTAGACAGGCTACATCCAGACCTGACCGAAAGTAGACCCTCCAGATCAGAGGTCCAAGAATTGCCGCGCACTTTCAAACAGGGAGACAAAGTGTTCGCGTGGAATTATGCTGAGGGTTACTTACGGCTTCCCGCTATAATCAGCAACGTTCTGGGTACCCGTATGTACGTGGCACAGCTTGCAGATGGAAGGAAACTGCAGCGCCACGTAGATCAGCTCAGGCAGAGGTGGGCTGACTCCAGTCTCGAGTCCAGCACCGAACCTGACTCGATCCCCCACCCAGAAGGCGAGCAGCGAGGGCCTCCAGACACGGAAGTGAGTGTTGCGGAGCCCCCCTTAGAAACAGAGTATGGGCTTAATCCCACTCTGGACAGTGACCCATCGGTAACCTGCCAGCCTGACTCACTTGACAGTGAGCCACCCAGGGCTCCTGCGGTCGTTCCACCGCAGAACCTACATGGCGGTCAAGTCGAACAAGGCGTACCCCCCCCCTATCTGAAAGACTACATTTGTCAGGGTATTGTTCCATCTTAGGGGGGAGGAATTGTTGTGTATTCACTCCATCCAAAACCATGTTAAGCTTGAGACCTCAGCTGGATTCTAATCTGGAACAACACTATTGGCTGAAGCAATGTCTGTAACCAATGAAATGTAAGAATCTGTGCTGGAGGGAAGACAAATGATTGGGTGTTATTTCTGTAACCTGGTTGGATGTTAAACTATGTGAGGGCGTGGCTACCCCAGCCCGGGAGAGTTTAAAAGGAGCTATGCTCCACTGTTGTGTGTGTGTGTTGTCGTGTCGTCTGATGCTGTGTGATCTTTGGAAGTTCTCGTTCTCAATAAAGCTGATTCACTTGTTACTTACTTCGTTGTTGAGTTGCATACTTAACAAGCTTGACTTCTGCCTGTCTTGGAGAAGAAGCATCTTTGCTTATCTGAACTCACCAGCTTCACTGGTTTCGTTGGGTGGCACTGGGATGAAGAAGGGGCCGTTTCTTCAAGCAAACAAAATCTGACATCTCGATGACGCCCTTCCCACCTTATTGCAACTGGAAAGCGATCATGTTACATCCAGCAAGGCGATTATCTTTTTCTCTGGGCTTTTGTTTAGCTAATAGCTAAAGGTGTTTCTTTATTGGGTGCTGACAGCTGAGAGATACTTGCTTAAATGAGTATTGATGGCTTCTGATGGCAGGTGGCTATTAGTTCTGGCCGCATCCCCTCCCCGCTTGCAGAGAGGAAACAGGCTTGGCAGTTCTGCACAGAGCCAGCAACAGAGAATCAAGACTTGGGAGTTGGCAGCGGAAAAGCTTTTTCAGGAGGGACTTCAAGGGCACATTGTTTGCTTGGGGGGGGGGGAACGAATGCCATTTCAAAAGCGAACTGTCTCTGTCAGAGTGCCTGCTTGCTCCTGGCTGTTCATCTTGTATATCTTTCCAAATAAACCGATCTTACAAGAACGCCACAAGCCTCCAGTACTCTCTCCCTGCTCAGGAATTAGCCCCATGCAGGGCTGTGCCCAGATATTTCCCCCTGCTCAGAGAAGAGGGAAATGCAGAATTGCTCTGTTGCGTTCCTCCTTGTGCCCTCGCCAGAATGCCCC